TGGCCGAAAGCAATTGCCCTGGCAAAAATAGAACAATTTCACTAAAAATAAAAACAAAAGCCAGATAAGTGGGCCAGCAGCAGCAGCGGATCGGGGGCGTGGCAAGCTGTGTGTAATATGTGCACAAATTGAAAATAAAGTTTTGTAACAAAATGTCGCACCGGAAATGAAACTCGCAGCATGAGACTTGGCTTGCCATCTCTCTATCTCTATCTCTCCCTTTCTAGCTGTCTCTGTCTGCGGGTAAATGTGTAGCGAAGCGTGTAAACTGGATATAAAGGCAGTGGCATTTGGGGGCGTGGTCGGAGAGGACGAAGGAGCATTGTTTGCCACTATTTCAGGGCAGAGAAGTGAGAAGGCAGGCAGGAGCATCTCTGATTCCGCCTTAGTCTAGGCACAGTCTGCGCCAGTTGAGCCTTTGCCATAATAAAAGATGACATTTTATAGCAGTCATAGCCATGTTAGCAGAGCGGGGAGAACTGAGCAGGGAGCAAGGATGAGCTCGGAGGATTCTCGCAGGATTCTCGGTGGTTTTGGGCCTTTGGCCTAGCCAGATGCCAGATGGAGGAGCAACCGGCAGCCGGAGGCGAGTCAAAGACACAGCTGCAAAAGTACATAAACCCAGAAATGTCATGTTTATTTTCATTTCATAAGGAAATTGTCTGTCTATATAGTTCTGGGGCCTGAGAGCGAAGCGGAGCAGCACCTGGAAAAACTTTGCCAATAACAAGGAGGAGAACGAACCGGGGAGGTCTAGTGTTTTTTACGATTCCCCCTTACATAAAGTCGCGGCAGGATGAACAATTTACGGCCAGGAGCAAAATTTATAGACCATAATTAGCATATGAAATGGTTAAGTGCACCACAAATTGCACTTCAGTGTAGTGCACATGCGGTTCAACCGGAAATAAAGCGGGCTATATACCTATATTAAATTGAATTCGCGGCTGTTTTGGGGTCGATTTAATGGCACTTGATGTGGGCTTAATCTTTGATGAAAAGTTCTTGATGCGCTAGCATTTTTCCTTTCTAACATCTTCCAACTTGCTAATGGCTTAAAGATCGGGCACAAATTATCCCCATTAAATATGCAAATTCGTGAAAACTTTGCCGTAGCTCTTTGCCACTTCGAGAAGCGAGTGCCACAGGTTGAATCTTCCCACACACACACACACGTCGCCTGGAAAGTATCCACTCATCTAATCGCATCGTTAACATCATCAGCAATTTTGCAGTGTCATGGCCCGAACAATGGCCGAAGGAAGGAGCCCCATTCCGGCTAACCGTTTAATCATTTTGTCACGCGTTGGCTAAACAAAAACGGAGCTCTTGGTGGTGGGGAATTAAATTTTAGCATATGTCATAAGGGTTTAGCCATGATTTATATGGCGAAAGGCGGCCATCAAATGTCGGGACAGGGCTTGTAATAAAGGGAATTAGGCGATGCCCCAGAGAAAAAGGGGGAAACTAAACGATTTCGAACCGAAGAGCAGATGCAGCTATGCAGAGTACATATATCGGCGGGCAAAACATGACCATTACTCTTCCGTGGGGTCGTGAAAGGAGAATCGCTACAGCTTCATATATCTTCATTTTGGCGGCACTTGCACTGTGAAAAATAGAACAAGATTGCCCTGGGAATTTGGCCCCTTTATCAGGCAGCCAAATCTCCCAGTGTAGTGTGACAGCTCAGCTGTGCACAAATTCGCTTGTGTATAAATATTTATATATTGAAATGCAATGCGAATACGAAACAGAATCGATGGGAATGAATAAGGAGTCGAAAGCGGAGCTTGAGCCGGAGTTGGAGTTGAATTTCGAGCAATGTGCCGCAATGCAATCGAGCTAGACGAAATTGAATTTGCTGCAAGTTGCTCAGGATTCGGCATCCGCATTCGCATCCGGGTCTCCAGCACAGTTTGTCCTATTTGAGCATGCGAAAATGCGATTTGAGCTGCTTCTCCAATCCCCACCCCTCACCCCTCAACTTCCTGGCCAGGAAAAGTTTGCCATCGCTTGTTGTGCTGCCTGCCTGCCATTTTTCCCGGGTGGAAAACTAGAAGCCTGAGCTGTGACAAATCTTTATGCAATGTTGCATGTCCTCTGATTTGCCATGATGACATGCTGATGGAATAAGTGGAGGGACGGCAAACGGAACTAAAACTATGACTGTTCCTCTGGTTATGCCTCTCTATATCTGTATCTGCATCTGTAGCCGCATCTGTATCCGTATCTATATGCCTTGTCTATCTGTCTGTGCCAGTGATTTGCTCGCTGAAGCGTTAAGCACAAAAATTGGTAATGGCTGTGGCAGTCCCGTTTTTGGCAATCATTGCGCAGGTTTTATATCTTTGATGGGTTTTCAGTTGGACCAGGGCCCCAAAATGCCATCGATTTGATATGAGTCTTAAGTCGGAGTCTCATTTTGTGGGAATTTGAGGAACATTACCATTGCTCTTTCTCAGCTCTGTTTGATTAAGAGCTGTTGAAATTTAATTAATTTCTTTACTCTTGCCATTTGGCCTGAGATTTTCAACAAGGGCCCCCAGGCGAAATCAGCTTATACATCAAAAGACACTGAAAATTAATCACGGGACCAGACCCTTTCCTTAAATTTAAACTTGCATGCTCGTTGGCTTTTCTAATTGCATTAATATCGTTATAGGACATGCTTTTTAAAATACAAAATAAACAAGAAATAAGGAAAATATCGGAATAGGTGAGCCCCGCATCCGAAATGGAGCGAGTGGAAACTTTTCATTATAAATTGCGTGCCAGCTGTCAACATGGTGGTGTTGCCCCGGGGCCAATTGAAATGGATTTTAAGGAGGGGAGGGCTAAGGAGGAGTCTTTCCGATGGAATGGCGATGATAAGGGGGCGTGGCACTGGCAGTTGAAAGGCTAATTTTGCACATTTTGACTGACATCCATGAGGAGCAAATGCGTTGTGGGTTATCATTTGGTTAGTCCTTTCGGGGAAGGGGACAGTCGGTCGGCGGGCAGTGGGCGTGGCAGGGCAGGCAATTTCATGGTTAAATGATTCAGAAAGAGAATTACAAAATTAGGCCCTGGCCCATGCCCAACCGCTGCTCCCCCCGGTTAACACAATGTAATTAACTTTTGCGCTACTGCCTCGCCCTCTCAATATATTTGATATTTATTTTGGCCCTCTGGGTGCACTTTGGTCATTCGTCCGCTGACAACTTTGGCTCTATAAAGTGAGAGGGAGGGAGAAGGGGAGAATACGCCGGATGTGCCGGCCATCTTCCCCCGTTGTCCCTTTTCGAGCGGCTTTCGAAAGCAATTTGAAACAAATTTTATTGCCAAAGTTTTCGGGAGCACATGGAAAATTGTTCAAGTGCCACCGCAAACAGAAAGATTGAAAAAAAAGAAAACGAAAAGTTAGCAACCAAGATGCCGCTCTGATCCACAATTAGTCCTACACAAAAGTGTGTTAAATGCTTTTGGATTGCAAATAAAGTGAGACGAATTTGCGTGGGAATATATAGTTCGATTGTTGGGGCGGTTCGATATCGCCGTATTTCTGCCTCTTAAAGTGCGGCCTTAAAATCTCTTACAGCTGACCCTACAAAACGGGGAAAACGAGGGGCCAAGTAAGTCCGCAAGCCTCGTTGCGCTTCATGACCAACTTCAATGGCTGGCGCCCAGTGCGTATGCGTAATAAACAAAACAACTGCAGTAACAATAGCCTCTGTGCCCTCTGTTTGTGTGTGTGTGTGTGTGTGTAAGTGGGCTTTATTTAAATTTACAACCAAGCAGTCGGCACTGTTGAGCTTTCCTACGCACACTGGTCATGCCCCTCCCCCCGAACCACCCCCTGGAAATCCCCGAAACGGGGCGGCATGTACACGCCCACTCCCTGGACGCACATTGTGCTCAGTGTTTGGCGTTTGCCTCTGTTGAATAATAAATTGTATTTTGCGGCATTTAAAAGCAATTTTTTAACATTTTTCAATCTCAATGGCAATGCCTGAAACGGCAAGCACGCACACCATCATAAATATCCACAAACACTGGCACACAAGCGTCGGCGATGCCACATTCATATCCGTATACTTACACAGAGAAAAGGCACTTGAGAATTTTTTATAAATATTTTACTTACTAGCCTATTAAATGTTTACAAATTTCAGTTGCAGAATAAAATATTTTAAGAGGGCAAAGGGCCTTTGCTTCAATTGTGAAACAATTTAAAGTATTTTTTCTTTTTTAAGAGGAGAATTTAAAATATGGTGTACTGTATCTTCTCACATCTCAATAAAAAACTTTTAAGTTGAATATAAATACATAATTTAGTTAGGTAAAAAAAAATAAATATAATTTTCGACAATTATTATTGTGATTTAATTAAAGACTTTAATGTAATGACATTTTTCACAGTGTAATTATAGACATGGCAGAGCAGGAGAGGAGTCCGACCGGAGCCCGTTGTGGCACAGTTTTGTCTACCAATTTTGCAGTGAATTGTCCTGGGGATCTCCGAAGCCAAGGCTGTCAAATCGTAGCACCAACAGCCACCTCTCCTCGCACCGAGATGGATAGAGATAGATGCAAATTGGGTGGGGTGTGGGTGTGGGGATGGGATTGGTTGTATAAAGGGGGGCAATTCTTGGCTTAGTCTTGGAGCTGGAGAATTTTCGGTCTGGCTGCCTGTGCATTTAGTTAAGCTTCAAGTGAAGACAGCAACGATTCGGCAGTGAAACAAATTGCAGCATTTAAGTTCCCATCCTGCTGGACAAATTCTGTTCGGCAAGAGAGTAGCAAAACTGGTCGAAAATGTTCGTACTTGTGTGTCGTCGGGGCTGGCAAACAGTTTGCGTAAAGTTTGATTATGTGTGTAAGCCGGCCAGTATTTTCCATTTCAAGTTTCCACACTTTGCATGTGCCAAGGCTGGCGGCCATGTTCGGTACAACAACAGATGGCAATTATTAGGACCGAATTTCATGTCGATCTCAACAGGCCTGTGGAATTAGTTCAACACACAGATAAGTTTTTCTGAAACAAAGGCACGCCGATATAAATTCTCGAATCTAAATATGGAGCAGCTACTTTCACGTCGTCGTAGAATTAGGCACAAAACTGCCAAGAGGTAGATATAAAATAGAGTGTATTTTAGTTACCACCTCATTTAACGAATTCTGCAGAGGACTTTCCAAGCTCTTGCCTGAATTAAAGTGCAAGTCCCTGGAGAGCGTGGGACGACAGATTAAGGATCAGCTGGGCTGCATTTTGCCATCCTCGGACTTCTACAAGAACTCCTTGCGTTTCTACAAGCGCTGCACCAAACCGGATCGCCAGGAATTCCTGCGTATTGGCGCAGCCATTGGCCTGGGATTCCTTCTCATGGGCCTGATTGGATTCGTGGTCAAACTGATGCACATTCCCATCATCAACATTATCATGGACTGAACCAGAATGCTTGAGCGGAAATAAAGTTTCAATTCAACTGCTTTGAGTCGAGAATTTTCTGGCCTAAAGCCAATGCCTTCGGAAACGGGACAAGCTGGTTGGGTTAACCTCAGGGTGTTGACAAGATCATTCCTCTTCCTTGCCAAGGTTTTTCTTGTTCTGATACCCACTATTCGTGGCTTTGTGAGGTATGTTACATTGTTGATTAACTTTATAAAAAGGCTCTAAACGCTAACTTTTAAAAGTCTATAAGTTAATATATAATTTTTATGCACTTCTTTAATTGTTCCAATCATATCACGTAAACACAATAGAAACTCAACGACAAATATGATGTAATCCTGATAATTTCCACTCCAAATCTAAAGTAAATTTATTGTGAATTGTTCGGAATTCCACCTTAATTGAATTGGCTTTTTAGGATTTTCAGTAATAAGCCAGAAAGATACATTTATATTACAAAATATTTAATTGAACTAGAGCAATTTTGTTTAATGGATAAAAATGGTTTAATAAAACATGTTTAATAAATCTAGTGTTCGCTTTAGTGAGTGCAAAGTTCAAATGCCTAAAACATTTAATACAATATGAAAATCTTTTAGTTAAATGTGATTGGAAAGAATTACCAAGTACAATTCTGTCGGCTTTTTACCTTAGTCTATTTCAATTCGCTAGAAAAAACATTAAATGTTGCCAAAAGCCCATTAATGTTACGTTGAAAGCTGTGTGGTTTTGTGGGTGGACACCCAGTTGAATCGAAGTCTTGGGGAGGGATCATATGTGAAGCCAGATTTTGCAGATAGTGACAAAGGTGTAAAATAGTTGCTAGCCAGTTAAAGGTAGGAAAACTGTTCCCTTAAAGCATTTACCACCTTTTTTGGCCATGCTATTCAACATTTATCGAATCAAATTTATTCAGAGTAACTGAACATTTCCAGTGAAACTTTTTTGGAGCTCGAAGTTGAAACTTGTTGACCAAATCAGTGGACGAAGCTTTTATCTGAGCACTTGCAGCAGCTGCAGAGGGAATCAAGAGCCGGGTCCTTGACGCATCAGTATCCATATCCCATACCCCATATCCCTTGGACGCTTGCATGTGCATTGTCGCATGTGTCTCCATTTGCTGCTGTTATGTTTTATTGATGAGTCTCGCAAACCAAAATTGATGATGCCTCGATGTCCTCGTTCGCGTCCTTGCGGCGCTGCGAAGAGCACAGTCGAGCTGCCTTGTTGTTCCCGCTGTTGCCGCCGGCAAATGGCGAAAATTTATTCAAAACTTCGACGCAGTTGCATCCTTTAACGGCCCGTCCGTGCAACAGGCGTCAAAGGAGCTGATGGAGGGAAATTGACGTGGTCGAAAGTAACAGACAGGCCCTCTCACGGGAAACTTGTAAGAGTTGAAAGTACCGAGATATATGTATCCATTAAGTCTTATAAGCAAAGTGAACAATTTTGTTTTTACCCACTTGTCAAAGGTGCCGGAAGTGAATTATAAAAATTGACTGAAAGGCAAGTTTATAAAAACAAGATATCAGGAAATTAAAAGTCCTGAAAAGCAGCGGATATTAAAAACTTTTTGGTATTTTTAAGGCTATGGAGAGTGAAGATCAAAGAGTATAAATTATAAAAATAAATTTCATGTTTCAACAATCTGAAGAATATTTCTTAAATTGTTTGCTACCCCTCAATATATTTAAAAATATTTAAAGGAACAAAAGAATCTGTTTAATAAATTTTCGAAAGAACATATTTAATATAAATTTATCCGAGGAAAATGATTTATGAAATTCAAAAAATGTTAATATTATTGATACATTGAAAAATTAAATGAAGTGCATTTATTAACCAAGAAAAATGTAAATAAAATTTTAATTATGGCTTAATAAGAGCTGGTGTTAATAATATTTTTATTGAAATTTCATGCTGACCCTTGGCTGCCTTGTTCTAGTTCTCTTTTTGATGCATTTTAATTAAAACTGAAGTGCGGCCATTAATTTGCAACTACAAATTACACTCAATAAAACATGTCTGCCACACTGATTTTTCGGCACGAAGCGAGTGAACAAGAGACGGAGAGAAAAAGAAAGAGAAGCGAAATATATGTATGGTTGTGTGTGTGTGTATGTCGGTGAGAGACTGGCAATCAATTTGCACTTTGACTACAATTACTGATTTTCGACACTTCAAAGGATTTTATAAATTGCCATTTGCTCTCAGCCCTCAAAAAAAAGTTCTACGTTGCTTCTCTGACTTTGGCAATTTGTTTTGGCCTTTTCCCTTGCCCTCACCACACACACACACACACAGGCATCCATTCACACCCACACAATCGCACACACTCACACGGACACGGTCACATGTGTTTTTTGTTCTCATCCTCATTGCGCCTACCATGTACAACTTTAATTAACTCAATGTGCGACTCCTGCGGCTAAATGGGCCGGCAGTCGAAAGGGCCAGGACTTGAAAGTAGTTTCTGCGTGGCAAGAGCAAAAGCAATGGCAGTGGCAAAAGGATCCAATGAGTAAAGTGATTTTTTTGTTAGTTTGGCATGCTGCAAATTAGGTTTCGGATGAATGGAAAAGCTAATGAGGGACACCGAATCGGGCTAGACAAGGTGGTTAAAGTTAAAGACATTCTTGCCGACCAAAGTTGAAATTTAACTCGGCCTTTACTTCCAGGAGGAGGACCTCCAACCCACCGCCTACTCTGTATTGTAGGCCATATTTTGGCTTTGCAATTTCCATGCAAAGTGGAGATACACGCATAAAGCGGAAAACATTTTTACACATATGACTGACGCTGATTGCGTTTGTCACGTCGGCGAAATAAAATTGCTGGGCGACCCCAAAAACTGACGGCTAAGCGAACCCGAGAGGTGCCCAAAAAATTGGGAGAAAAAGCGTAAGAGGGTGATAAAGTGGAAGACTCCTGACGATTAAATACCCATTGCTCAGTATTTAGTTATGTAACTTTTGTTAAGAGCATTGAAGTTGTCTTTTTTTGATAATAATCCTCTAACATGGATTTTTAACTTATTTTAAAGGTGGCTAAAAGTATGCAGCAGTATAGTTTCAATAGCAATTTCCAAGAGATGCTTTCGAGGACAATTATTTTTTCCTAGCATACTTTTAGGAAACATTTTAAATAATTTCACCATAATTTCTTATAAGAAAACTCTTGTCACACATCTTAGAATATTATGTATTTTTTATATTATGATGGACGTTGATGCACTACGAGCAGTACAAACAAGTGGCCCAACGATACCAAGCACGTGCTTGTTACGCGCGGGACCCTTTATCAATTAGGGCAAAAATGCGAGTTCGCGAGGAAGATACATGAAACAAATAGAGACGGGACATATAAAGATTATAAAGATTATGAACTAAGATTGAAGCAAATGAGATAAAATTTTAGTTTTTAATACAGGGATAGATGTAGAAGTGCAAATTAAATGATAAAGATTGTTATAATTATTACATAGAACACGAAAGGGCTCATGCAGAGTAAAATTTGATGTACATCGAGGCAAATTAAGAGGGTAATAATTTCGTGTTAGTCTAACGGGAACATTAAAAGTTAAACGGTTTACCAGTTCTACAGAATCAATATCACCTCTTATAAGATTATGCATAAAAATAGTACCAAGCATTATTCTACGGTTTTCAAGTGTAGGTAAATTAAGCAATAGTAATCTACTCTGGTAGGAAGGTAGCCTTACGTTTTGATCCCAGTTCAAACTACGAAGGGCAAAAAGGAGAAATTTTTTTTGCACCGACTCAATACGGTCGATGTGCACTTGATATTGTGGACTCCAAACTGAAGAACAATATTCCAAAATAGGACGGACAAGGGAGGTAAATAATAATCTGGTTGTATAAGGGTCATCAAATTCTTTTGACCAACGCTTTATAAACCCAAAAACACTCATAGCTTTGTTGACAGTCAGCATTATGTGGCAGTCAAATTTAAGCTTCGGGTCCAGAAGAACGCCTAAATCATTTACTGAATATATACGGTCAAGTGGCAAGTTCTGAAGCAAATAACTTATAAATGTAGGAGTACCCCTATGAAAGGTCATTACGTTACATTTCAGGCAGTTCAAATTTAAGAGGTTATACTCACACCATACTTGAAAATTATCAATGTCTGATTGTAAGCCAAAACCAGACTCTATATTATTGTATGTCAAACAAAGCTTAACATCATCAGCATACATTAGTACGCGAGAATTTGTTATGATAGAGGGAAGATCGTTAATAAACAAAGTAAACAGCAAAGGGCCTAGATGACTACCCTGGGGCACTCCAGATGTCACGCGGATCATTTTAGAAGCAGCGTTCTTAAATATAACCCTCTGAGTCCTACCATTCAAATAACTTGAAATCCAAGTTAAAAGATTACATGGAAACCCAAGCAAGTCTAGTTTGAATAAAAGAAGAGAGTGGTTAACGGAGTCAAAGGCTTTACTGAAATCTGTATATATAACGTCGGTCTGCATTTTATTGTTAAATCCATTAATTACAATAGATGACAATTCAAGTAGGTTGGTGGTAGTCGATCTTCGCTTAACAAAACCGTGCTGACACGGTGATATTAGCGAGGAACATAAATGTTGCAAATGAGAGGTGATAATACGTTCAAAGGCTTTTGGAATTGCCGACAATTTAGAAATACCTCTATAATTCTGGGCATCCATCTTCGCACCCTTTTTGTGGAGTGGAATAATGAAAGAGTCCTTCCAGATAGTTGGAAAAACTGATGATGAAATAGACAAATGAAAAAGTTTAAGAATCGGTTTACAAATGGTTGAGGCACAAAACTTAAGCACACACCCGGGGAACAGAACAACCAATATACCCCTCTACCTTCCTAGTAACGGGTATTGCAAATCGGCAAAAGAAAAGCCTGCGAGAGATCCCGGATCCCCGAAACCCCGTGACTTTTTTTTGTTGTCCCCGTGGTGTTGGACTCTTCTGGCATTCTACTTCTATATATATGCACACCTCACCCCGATGGTTTTGTGTGCTTTTCTTGCATCTGCGCCAAAATTCGGGTAACGGGAGCGGAATTGCAGTAAAATCGTCATCGATGAACTGGGCGACCTCTTTTACGCACGAAAACAACCACACACACACATACGCGCACGATTTGAGGTCTCATCCGTCCAGCATTGCGTATACGTAACGTGCGCCAGCCGATTGTCGCAGTTGCGGAATATTTGCATAATTTAGCGATTGAATTTTATGCTCAAAAGCAAAGCGCAGCATCTGCTTCTCCTCTTCATACATAAACGAATGTACGTCAGGCGGAAAAGGAGGGTGGAATTGAGTCGCTCCATCCATTTTGCTTTTCATATATTAATTATATAATTTTTGCTGCATTTGGCCGTGGCCAGGAACTTCCGAACAGCAGTCTGTATCGGCATCGTCATTATTAAGCCGATGATGAAGATCACTCTTGCCGGGACATGGACAATAATTGCATGCAACATAATTAAAGCCATTAAAGCACTTAAGCTGCCGGAAAACCCAGGACATGGCATATGGCCGTGGCTAAAGGCAGGCGAATGGGAGGGGGATATAAACGATAGAGTGGCCACTGGTCGAGTCATGTTTGCATATGCATAATTATGATGAAAACACATTTAAATGCATTTAATCGGGCGCATAGCCAGCCTCGAAGGGGCAGAGGAACATCAACCGGGAGGAGGGGGACCATCGGCGAGGATCGTGGTCAGTTGGTTTCGGTCGACCTGGTTTGGCAGGTGGCTTATGGCCACGGCCCACTGAAAAGGCTTTTAACGTTTATTGGTTTTTATTAAATATTCCGTGCTCATGGCGACGCCGCCAGCATATTAAATTCATAGAAAAGGATTGCTCAATTTATTGGGCTTCACTCAAAAGGCATATTTAAGTTAGATGCTGAATGGAGTCAACAGTTTGCTTTAATTTACTCCTTGAAATACATTTCTTTTTTAAAATATAGTGACCATAGCCTGTTTTGTTCTTCTGTAACTACAAATTGAATTGAATAAATCAAAATAAACAATGAAGGCACAAATCAATGTATTTGCACAAAAACTTATCCTTTAGGACATTCTCAAAATATTTATTTTATATTTATTTTTTGTCTACTGACTTTCACTCTTTTTCGGCCAGAGATAGAAGAATTTAATACTCCAGAAATCAAGTTTAACAAATAAATGAAATCATTTTGCATCAATGCAATGATAGAAAACTCAAACCTCGATTGGCAGAAGAAATTCGTTTGTTGCTGACCAACATTGAATCATTCGGAGATTTCTACAAAAAGTTGTTTGTTGATTGGCACAGTCAGTGTGGAGAAAATCCCATTCATTGCTGGTGATATTGAAATATTTACTGATTTGCCTACTGCAAATTATGTATGCAATTTAAACAAAATTATTTATGTGCGAAGATTTTTCAAATATTTATACCAGGCTAACAAAAGTGCATACAGGGACGCATTTATTTTTATTTGTTAATATGTGTGTTCGGTATTTGTGGCCATTTTTCGGCCACCCGTTGTTTGTCTCGACCGGCCAGAAATTTAATTAAATCTCTGCGAGGCATTTCAATTTCATTTTCTATTTACACTTTGTGACAATTTTTACGCGTCAACTTCTTTTCTGGTGTATCTTTTTGTTTCGGGGCGACCCATTGTTAGTTTTTTTCCTTTTTAGGGGCCTGGAGTGTCGGACCCTCCATAAATGTTGCATGAGGCGCACTTCCCGTTTCCTGTAAGCGCATTTCGCTTTCATGACAAAACAGAAAAAGGCCAACTGAGGAAGCAAAGATTTTTGGGTGGCTAAGCAGGAAGCTCAAACTTTGAAGTTGCCGGATGCTGGGCTGTTGTTTGTTCTTTTTGACCCACAATCGAGTTGCGGAGCAGTTGCCCGGCCAAAGGAAGCCGGCCAGAATACATGGTCGATCCTGCGGTAGGCTCTCCAGGACTGCCCCTCTCAATTGACCCATTATCAGTGGCCCGTGCCCGGAAAACACCTGGCCAACATCTGCGGCGGTTTCAATTACCCGCACTTCCACCCACTGTCACCTCGCACTCAACTTAAATATTTATAAACTTTATTAATGTGTGTGAGCGTGAGGCACCTTCGAGGGAAAAGCCAAAAGACAAAGAACCGTGCAAAACCAACCGGGAAGACCGGGAAGAAAAGGAAAAAGAAAAATACAATTATAATTATTTATTATGCGACAGTTTCCACTATGGCTATCTGCGTCTCTGCGGCTCCTTTGTTGCACTCTCTGCAAACGAAAGCGAAACGAAACTGTCGCGAGCGTTGGCCATAAATCATTTATGCAGCAGACCCGCACACATACGCCAACAAACAGTCAGACAGTCAATACACTGCAGGAAAATTTATAAAATAATTTTATTCACAATAAAAGTTAAAAGTGGGGGCCATAAAAATCCTCTGCGTTTTGAAATCACTTACAAAGACACCTAAAAGTATGCTCTACAGAAATTAATTCTCCTTATTAAAAATATATTATTGCATACTTTTAGACACCTTCAACAAAAATATTAAAATCTTGTCAATTTTATAAGAAATTAATTTTTTAAATTAAGCGAATTCTTTTAGATTATGTTCCATACTTAGCTTATTTTCAGTGCCTTGTCTCCTTTCTCAGTGCAGGGATATCCATACGCATGCTGAGTATACAAAGTGGCATAAATCAACTTACACTCGCACACCTACACCCATCACTTTCATGGAGGATTGGGGACGGGTGCGGGGTCTCCAAGACGTGCCTGCAGTCATATGCAGAACTTGCAAAGAGTCCTGCCCCGCTTTCTCCCAAAGTAAAGACGCTGCAGAAAAACTGGAAAACTTACGCGCTCCGCTTCGTCGCCTTTCCATCCCTTTGCTTTTCCATTCCATACCATTCCAATCCCATCCCCCTTTAATTTTTTTTCCTTTTCGATGCATGTCAGTGCCTTGTGTGTCTTTTGATAAGCGCACTCGAAGCAACAGAAAGTGTAGCGCAGCATAAGCTGAAGGCAGGGGAAAAGAAGTATAAGTTTCCCTCGTTTTTTTCGGAGTTTTTTTTGTTTTGGCTGCTTTACGCCAAGCACTTTATTGGCAGTTGCTGAAGTATGCAGCGCAGTGTAAGTTTGCTCGTTGAATTTAATTTCTGGCATGTGTGCAGGGGGTTAGGGGCGTGATTAGATTGCTTTTTGCGCAGGGAGATGGGGTTCCATCTTTAAGCAGCAACTGCTCATGATAGGATCAGAAAAATATGAAAAGGAAATTTATCTTTTTGGCTGCTTAACATTTTACGGAAAATCTTTAAAATAATAGAGCAATTTAACGTAAATTTTCTTATTTATGATCTACGATTCTGATTCCAAACCGATTAATATTTATAAACCTACTTTTATACCTATAAGGATTTTCGTTTTATTTGAAGATATTAAAAAGTAAGTTAAATTTAAAATAAAAATCATAATATTATGAAAAAATGAGTAGCATTTTTTATAAAATCTAAGTCGAAATTGACTAAATTTAATTTTTTACTGACAAGGTTCTTTGTAAAACAATTTGTTTTTATGTTTTCCCCAGCTTTCTTTACATTATTATTTAAAATTCAATAAGACGGATATATTTTTAATCACTTTTATTTTTCGTTACCTAAATATATGCAATGATTTTGACTGCTTTTTGCATAAGCGTACCCCTAGTATACTGTTTTCCCGGGTTTCGACAACCGACCAAAATAGCATTGGCCTGAGGGGTAACCATGTTCACCTTTTTACATCCTTTTCGACCAGGGCGCTGGCAAACGTTTTGCGTATGTTTATCCGAACTTCCGTCGATTTACAAAATTATAATTGCACTCACCCATGGGGAGGTGGCAATTTCTGGCGGCATGTGGGGGCACTTTTTGGGGTGCAGTGCACGGTACGTTTACAATGCACTTCCGCCCCATTGTTGTTTTGCATGTTGACATGGCGCAGGCACCGCCAGCGAGGCAGCCAGACATATTACTCATACGCCGTGTTGTCGCTGCCCCGGTCGGTGGGAGTGTGCGTGTTGACAATCATGTATTCGCTGGTTTTTCTGTTCTCTGTTCTCCTTTTTTTGTATTTTTTTTTTCATTTTTGTATTGCCGTGCTGTTGCCACTAATGTGCCACGCCCCTCGGCGGCGTGAAGTTGAGCTGACAATCGAAAGCCGAGAGGTGGCAGAGCGGGCCAGTCAAGTGTGTGGGCGTAGCACGCTCGCCTTTTCTTTCAGCCGATTCCCGATCCCCGTCCCCGAGTTGCCCCTCCTTACGAAATAACAATGGCAGCGGCATCAACAGCAGCTGCAACAATGCAACATGACAACTTCCGTTGCATTCGCCTGCCGGCACAAAGGAAAGCGACAAAAAGTCGCACACAAACAAACACTCATACGCCCCGTGGAAAACTGTAACGGAATCGCATTGTGCGGGCGAAAATGTTTTTTCCTGCTCGGGAACGACAAAAGGACATACACACACATCTGGCAAATCGGAGGCAGTCCCTGAGAAATATGGCCAAAACCCTACTCACAGTATCGGCCAGCACTTATATCTACCTTATATGCGATAAATCAATTATTTGTGTTATGTGCTAACCTGCTGCGTGATTCCAGGCCAAAGCAATTAATTGGATTCCATTCGAATCGGTTTGATTCGATTCGATTCAAACGCCCTGTGGCACGCCTCATGCAATTTCATTTAATTATGCTAATCAGCCCGCAAATGCACCGAGCTTGTTAATTATTTTTTTCCCGTTTTTCTAATTAAAATTTATTGCCCTGACCAACTATGGCGACACTTTGTTGAATTTTATACATTTGTTTGTAGGAATATGAACTGTGATTTTCACAATAAATATGGTACGTTTCAATGGTCTGTTTCAAACAACATCTATAATATCGGATTCGTCAAGAGCTGACTGCTGTTCCGAAGCCAGTTCAGAGGTTTCGTCTAGTACACGATCATATGATTCAAACTCGATGACGGAGTGACCGGACTTGAAAGCACAAATAACTAGCTTAAAGGCGTAAGCACAGGGTTCCTTAGAAGCCTGATCCATGCACTTGGTAATGGATTCCGCTGCCTCACTGGTGGCGTTCATTGAACCCACATCAATTTTACCCAGATCATTCAGCCATTTTGTTGGCTCCCTTTCCAGCTGACATTTTATGTTGCACTTGTACTTCAGTTTCACATTTTCGCTGAGCACGTTATCCAAGTTTTCAAACTCCTCAAACTTTTCGTACTCCTCAATGGTAATATTATTAATTTCCAGACAATCATCAAAATCGTCTAGGGTTCCTTCAAAAAAGTCAAAGGGATGGTTGGCCTGAAAGGAATTTATTTATAGTGCCAATAAATCAGGATTGTTTAGTTTGATTATCTCACGCTAGCACGGCTCATTAAAGCCAAGGTGAGAAGCGCAAATATTTCAAGTCTGTTGACGAACATTGTTAGAATCAAACTGATCAGTTATTGGAGAATTTCTCATTTATAATATTAAAAAAAAATGCTTTTAAATTGGGTGATAAACCAGTTTTCCACGATTATACTTGTAGATTTAACTTGCTTACGATTAAGTAAATTTTATCTTCCATTTCCTTGAGATAGTGCAAGTCAATCATCGGAAGTACTTATTAAAGTAAAAAATAAGGTAATAATTTGAATATATTAACTCGACTTTATTTTTACATTATTCAAAATAATTTAATGATTATTGTGCCGAGATTCTCACATAAATTATAATATTATTGAATTTTATTCAAAGGCATTAAAGGCACAAATCATTACAAAACAAGAGAGAACGCTATAGTCGGGTGCCCCGACTATCAGATACCCGTTACTCAGCTAAAGGAAGTGCGAAGGAGATGGAGATAAAACTTTGATCCGCCGTAACTTTTTAACGAATGGTCCGATTTAAAAAATTTCTTCTACATTTCGATAGGTATTGGTAAACACCATAAAACTGCATTTTTACTTTTCTGAAATATTAAAAATTTTTAAAATCGTATATTAGCGATTGTGGGCGTTAGAGGGGGCGTGGCACCCTTTTGAAACAAACTTGCGCTGCGTAGGAACTCCTAGAATCTGCATGCAAAATGTCAATCTTCTAGCTTTTATAGTTTCCGAGATCTCAGCGTTCATACAGACAGACAGACGGAAAGACGGACAGACAGACGGACAGACGGACATGGCTAGATCGACTCGGCTAGTGATCCTGATCAAGAATATATATAGTTTATAGGGTCGGAAACGCTTCCTTCTACCTGTTACATACTTTTGCACGAATCTAGTATACCCTTTTACTCTACGAGTAACGGGTATAATTAAAAGCTGTATGCACACGGTTCTTCAGCAGCTGAAGAACATTTTCAAAATATTAAACTGAATACTCTATGGAAGCAATGGATTTTTGGTTAATAAACCTGTCTTTCCACATTTCTCTTTCAATTCCTTGAGATTCTTAGTTTCAATCAGCTGAAATCGTTCTCTTGATTTCATATGTATAAGCTAATAACAATTATTCGGAATCGGTAGTGGGATGACCGGCTTTAAAGGCACATATCACTAGTTTAAAGCTGTACGCACAAGGTTCTTCGGAAGCCTGATGCATGCACTTTGTAATGGATTCCGCTGCCTCACTGGTGGCATTTATCAGGTCCAGATCCATTTTACCTTTATCATTTAGCCACTTCGTTGAATCCCTTTCCAGCTGGCATTTGATATTGCATTTGTACCGTAGGTCCACACTCTCGTTGAGTAGGTAATCCAGAGTCTCGAACCGTGCGTATTTTTCGTATTCGCTGATGGAAATGTTATTAACGTGTAAACACTCTTCAAAATCCTTCGAATTCCAATGAAAAATGTCAAAGGGATGGCGGGCCTATAAAATTATATTTTAGAATACCAAAATAATATGCGGATAAATAAGTCAAGCAGACCTTAACTATGCTGATCAAAACCAATATCAGAGGCGCAATAAATACAAGTCTGTAGGTGAACATTGTTGAAATGAAACTAAAGAGTTGCTTGTGAATTTCCCACTGGCGCAAAACAATTGCGTTTAAGTAGCTTAACCAGTTTTTGTTCGATTATTCATTTAATTTGTTTGAATTTTTCTCCGCTTCGGTGACCTCATCGCTCTGCTCCAAGCTTTCCGTCAGACAAGTCACCATTTTAAATGCATATTCACAGTGATCTTCCTCATCGTCGTGCAACTTTTTGCATTCGTAGAGAATTTCTCGAAGTTCATCGCTCACAGGTTCAAATTGGTCGATCATTTCCACATCCAAGTAGCCATTGGAATCCAAAAGATTTCCCTTTTCGGCCAGGCAGAAGACAAAGCACTTGTACCGCCGCTCTGTGTTTTCGATATCATCCTCTTCGGAACTGGCGCGATCTATGAGTTCCTGGAACTCGGCCTGGCTGATATTATTAGAGGCCAGACATTCCGCCACCATGTTGCTTTCCTCCAGAACGGGAAGGCTCTGTTAGATGGAGGTTAGGTTACGTATACCATTTAAACCTATATTCAAAATGAATTACCTGGGTGAAGACCACGATGACGGCCAAGATTAGTAAAACCCCTAGCTTAAACATTATTTAATAACTCGCAGAATCTGTTTCAAGATGAAAATAAACATGGGCAGTAAGCACCTCGCACTAAACTGTTGGCCGGAGAAAAGCAGTTGGGAATTTTATAGAGACTGGCTTGTGCGGTATTTTATAGGGGGAGCGGCTTATCTGTATCTAGCCAACTAATTAATTGCGAACAACTGGTTACTGGCGATAGACGATCTGTCGTGCATTTAATTGAGTCTCAAAACTCGGAACTGTAACAACATCTGATTCGTATCGAGCCCAGTGATTGATTTGAATTTTCAATGCCTCTCACCGAATATTACCTTTTTATCTTTTGCCCACTTTTAAAGGCCATGCTCTGAAGTTATTCTGGCAAAACTAAACACAAAGAGTAAGCCTCACGTAAATTTCATTTTATACGCAGTGAAATTCGCATAACATTTCCTGTCAACATATTTTGCAACACTTTTGCTGCAAAAATGAAGCGACAACTGCAGCGGCAGGAGCAACACAAAGCGACAAATTGCGTTGACAGTAGGGGAGCTGGATGGTTTGGTTTGGTTTGGTTCGGTTGGGTTCTGGGGAAAAGGCATTCCTAACTATGCAACCCCATGCAACTCTAGACAACAAATGAAAATTCCAAGAATATTCACATTCGCAGTGAGTTTTGGCTTTTGCGGCCGGGACTTTGTCTGCTCTTTTTCCCGAACCCCTTTGCCCGCCAAACCGCTTGTCGCGTTGTTTACTTTGGTTATTTACGGCCTGAACAATTTTTTTTCGGCTTCCTTTCTTTTTGCGCTGCATACTTTGGCCGCTTGCCAAAAAGGAAATATGTGTTGGGAAAATTACAAATTTTTATGGTCATCGCTAGGTGCTAAACTGTGTCCTCGGCTGACCCAGCCTGTCGCTTCCATTCCCGTCAAGTCCGGCTGCATAATTGCGATCCTATTTTTCAATTTTTGATGTTTAATAAATATTTCGCATTTCCGTGGAACCTGGTTTTTGTCTAAATTTGGGTGAAATTTGGCTTCAGATAGGTGGGCTCCAACGCTAATTTGGCGCATAAAATACGCATTTCTAAATGAGTTTGGCTCTTTGGGTTGTTTAATAATTTACCGTACAGCATACACAATGAAAATCGCAGAAAAGCGATAAGAAAGTATGAATTAGTACGGATTTTGACTTTTCAGCCAATAATAATGCAAAATTTGTATTGGCAAAATGTATATGCTATCGTTGAATGATTTCCTACATACATAGTAGAGTTGAGATTTCGGATTGTTTTTACATTTATTCAAAGGCAAAAATTGCTAATTAAAAGCTGTAGGCACATGGTTATTCAATAGCTGATTAAAGGTTTTAAAATCAAACAATAACTTTCTATGCAAAATGTATCTCTTGTTTGAATGGATTTTTGGTTAATAAATCTATCTTTCACTTGAAACTAAAGTCAATAATAATGCTGTTTGCCAAAACTAAAATTGAAAATTTGTATTAGGCAAAATGTAAATGATATCGTTGAATGATTGACTACATAGCTGCTAGAGTCGATATTTCGTATTATTTTTACATTGTGGAAAATGTTGATTTAATAATGAAAGAAAATTATTTGGAAATATTGTGCAAAACATTTTGTAAAACTTTTCAAGCACCACTGAAACAAAAAAAAATATTTTACCTCGGCTATAGTCAAGTTTCATTGAAGGTTAAGGTAAAATACAAAAGAAACTCTTTCTCTGCTCTGACAGCTACTGCCATTTATTCAACTTGTCAGGGGGAGCTGGTGAAGTTTTGGCGCCCCCTTTATCCAGCTGTTGCCTTTGCTACCTTTCCGGAAAAGTTGCCACAACAAAAGAAAAACTAAGGAAAAAATATGTGTAAAAAGTTTTTGCTGCTTTGCGTAATAAAAATAAATAGTAAGTGACTTCAATATGCATGTCACGTATTTTGCATGCACTTTGATGCCGCACCCCCGTCCCCACCCACATACACATTTTGGCACGTGCAGCAACACAATGGAATTTTTCGAAAAGTGCGTAAAATTCGAAGAGCTGGTAGGGTTTAGTATCGTAGTTTAACCGTAGGATTCTCTGCAACTTGGCCCGAGAGACTTCGACTCCCCAAGACAATGCAACAAATTAATGGCCGAAATCTTGGAGCTTGCTAACGACAATGACCAGGTTGCAGGTTCGTTTCGGGACGTAGAACCACTAAGGAGTTTGCATTTATCAATTAGCTTGAAATGGAGAGCACCAGAGGCAGCTGGCAAGTTCATTGCAATAGCAGTAAGGAGCCATCCTCCAAACCACTGGGGTGTGAATCGCTACGCCAAGACAAACAAAGCCAGGAAAAGTGGGGGAAAAAGCTGGTTCACATCCTTGGAGATGCAAGTGAGCCCGTGAACAAGGAGCAGCGAGACAGCTGCATCTTTGGCTGGCGGCAAAGCAGAGTGGAAAGCGGAGCAGAGCAAGACAAACCCACTTCCCAGGCGGTAATTACAAAATTTTTAATTAAATGTTAAGCGTGGGATGGACGACTTTAAGCGCTCATAACCGAGAATGGGCACGCCGCAGAGCTTTAAGTCCCCGTTCCGAAGACAATGTGAATACGCCTTGACTCCCAGATGAGTTCTGTTTATGCCGGACTTTTGGCGTTTTTTCACAGCTTTCCGTGAGATTTGCATGCCTCACTGCATTTGGTGACAATTTCTGCACCCACGCAAATGAGCTTACACATGGAATGCAGGTTGCCTTCTATGATTTTTCAGAAGAGCATCCATCAGTACAGAAAAATGTTACTTTTGTTATACAATTTAATGGAATTATTTTCAGTTAAAAAATAATTAATTCAATCATTTCAGAACATTTATTTTATAGCAAAATATTTTTAAAAGTTCAAAGCAGGAAGGATTTTTTTTAAATCTAAAAAATATTTCTTATATTACCTTTTTATTTTTCCATTTTAGATTCCCTCCTATAAAAAGGGTGCCAAATCTTCGTTGGACCTTTTTTTTGGCAACAACTGGAGGGATTAAAGTTTGGGCTTAGAGCTAGCTCGTGTGCGAATAGTTTTGCCGTACTCGCAGCGAAAGAGAAGGACGAATGGAGGAGAAAGCGTTTCGCTAACTAAAAATAAACCGAGTGTTAAACGTGGCTTACACACTGGCCATTTTTATTGCCGGCCTGGTCCGTCAGCCGTGAATAATCGCATTAGTTGTGAAATTAAAAATTACAAAATAGAATAGATAAATCCGCCCACGGTTGGCTAGCTAGCTGGCTTGAGGTAAGCCTTTTGTTGGGCCAAAGGCACAACTATTAACTGTCCCCCTGTCCTTTGTGTCCCACATAAATTCGATTAAAATGTCCTTTTTTTGGGTGGGTTACAGGGGAGTCGGTGAGTGTGTGTCCATGGACTTACTGCTAATTGAATTGCCGAGTCGAAAGAGAATTAGTTAAGCCCCTTCGGGGGTTAATGTGCTGGAAGGGCTGGCCCCGAAATCATCCAAAGGGGTCAAAGGTGGGTCAGCTAGACTTATTATTATTTTTTCTGTGGGAGTGGTGAGCTCATTATTCTTGAGCAGGTTAGCATGTGCTTTTGAACCAAACTTCTTGTTGCTTACTTTTCAGGGCGAATGCCTCTGCGTTCCTGCCAATATCCTTGAGGAATGTTCAATTTTATGTATAGTACATATCTCTATCGCTTTGCCATGCATATTTTATGCAGAGCAGTTGACCAAGATGTCACAATGATGATGACGTCAATGCCTTCGTTTCTGCCAAGCGTCCTGGTGTAAATTTAAATCCAATCTCATGGCAACCGAGAGAAAAAAGATGAAGAAAGAGCCAAGAAGTGAAATCAATTTCTTTTGTGTGACATTTGAAAGGTTTCAAATGATTTTCAATTGTTGTTGCATTGACAATTCACAGAATCGAAGTGGTATGTCCTTTCCACTCCCCTACTCTCCTCTCAGCACTTTATATATAAGAAATATACAAGGATATCGACTTTGTCCGTATGAGCTTCATAATCCGATTTTCGTGTTAAATGATTCTCCTTCACGTCTTTTGTGCTCTGCCCTCGGCTTCAACTTTGACTCCTCGGCCTCGTTGACGGGTTCAATAAACATTCGCTCAGGTGACTGCCTGCATTGTGTATTAAATTCCGACACTTAACCCCCTTGACTGCAACTGTCTGCCGAGTTTGGCGGCATGGGTTAAACAGCACTAGACGGCGACTCATTACTTGAGTGCTCAAATGGGTGGCTGGCTCTTGCTGCTGCTGCTGCTGCTGCCTTTTTGTGGCAATTTTCGAGTGCGCTTTCTGCAGTTTTTAACTTGAAACAACAACAGTGAGTCAAGTCCTTCACATGGTCCTCGTCATTTTTCTTCTCCCTGCTTCTTTGCACCCTGGATCCTGTATACTGAATGCTGAATCCTTGCTGCTGCAGCAGGTGCATGTTGCTGCCCCGTTTTGTTTGCGGCAAAGTGCTCACCGAGCGTCATTGATGCTGACGTTGATGTTGCCGTAGTTGTAACCGTAGCTGTTGTTGTTGTCGTCAAGCTGCCACTTGTCACATGGCAACAGTTTAGTTTTCCACACACACAACACACCCAACCACCCACCATCTGGGCACCCACAAACCCTCAAGTAAGTGCAAGTGCCGGCTCAAGTTGCACTCTTACATGCAGCAAACGGAAATCAACGCAGTGCGCCCAGTCGCCGGGCCAAATGAATAGAGCAGGCCCGCCCACTCAACCCACTTCTCCCCCTGCCCCTGCTCCCTCTCCCTCCACCGTCTATGGCAGTCAAAGGTCGCCGTTTATGTCGATGAGCTGTTTTGCAGTCCAAGGAAGTGGGTCTTCTGGAACTGCGATTAGCGTTAAAATGCCTTACAAAAATATTACCAAGAAAACATTCGAATGATAAGAAGAGTATAAACGCAAGGAATTTATAAGAAAATATCAACAAAGAAAAATTGGTAAAATTATTTACCTGCAATTTATTAGGTCGTTTGAGCTTTGGTTCTTCTTAATCTTAAACGTTAACCATCATCTCTATTGAAACT